ACGGAAACGCTTGGAAAGAGCAGACAAAAAACGCCTTCACCTCTGTCCGGCGGGGCCCAGCGCTAATGAAACGGTAAGCAAACGCCAGTAAAACGCCCTGTCCCGTCGCACAGCAATGAGGAAAAGCAAAGCGCAAGGAAAAGTGTCGCCCGTTGTAGTTGCTCATTGTCTCGTTCGACACGTTTGCAATTGCTCTGTTCGCTCGGCGGTTCACACGCTTTTTATGGCCAACACATTAACGTGGTTGCCGGCAAATGCTTCCATCATCTCTCTCTCTCTCTTTCTATTGCCAAACGATCAGCTGAAGCTGGAGATTGCAGTTGGAGGGGGAGGGGAAGGGGGAGCGGGAGCGCCAGCGGGCGATGATCATAATCATCGCATGAGCATGAGTGGCGGCAGAAGCAGCAGGCGGCAATTAAAACACGTGCGAAAGTAAAAAGTTTTACAGTTAACAAACAAAAACCAAATAAAACAGCAAGAGAGTTTAAAAGAAGCAGAACGACTATGAAATACCCTTGAAGATTCATGAATCCTATGGGAAATACATGTGGAATGTTCATTGGTATTGGGTATAACGAAGGCTTACAATAATTCTCGGTTGATTTGGAATAATGCGGCTGGCTCTCCCTGACTACCGCTCTCGCTTTCGTCATCTGCTCTCTCGTTTTTGGGCAAGAGGACGCGAGCGTACAGGCAGCCCAGCCGCCTTCGGATAGCTGTAGATTAAGCTACAAGAGGGTTGACTGGATTAAGGGACTCTCTGGAAAAGCTTTTTATTTGAAGCTTTGCCAACTTGCCTGCAAACTTTAAAGCCCCATCGAAAGAGAGGGTATCAAGAGCGAGAGAGATAAAGAGATGAAGAAGCACAATCGGACAAATGAGAAACAGTAACAAAAGTGCACATTTAAAAGCTTTCGCTGTCGCGTCTCTTCTCTCTTTCTCTTTGCTGCATTTATCTGCAGCAAACGAAACAAAATTGAGTGAAAATTGATATGAATGCAATTCTGATTATATACTTGGGAAGGCTTTTGCTTTTGCACTCCATGCCACTCCACAGAGAGCTCCAATTAAATGCAAATCAGGGCTGAAAGTGATCGTAAGTGATCGCCGCATGCCATGCCCATGCGGCTGCAAGCCCCCGCTCCAGGAACAATTAATCTCCGACCACAAGAAAAGAGATGAAATATTGGACAGTGTCGTGGCTTTAATTACTTTATTACGTTACGAGATTCCGCAAAAGCCAAGAGCCAAGAGAGCGGATGCTCTGGCAGCCAGGAAGAAATGCTCGTAAAGGAAGGATCGAAGGCGGTGGCCTTAGCGGTACTTTGACGTTTAACCAAAAGACAAATCGCTTACGCCCTGCTCTGCAAACCCTCTCCACTCCGCTCCCGACACGGATACGGGCCGAAGGAGGGGAGGAGAGGCCCGACATAACAATTTAGTGTAACGATATCTGTATGATACAATGTATGGGAGGTACTCGAGGCACCCATACGCCAGATACAGATACAGTGGGGCACTGCCTACTATGCATGAAAATAAATTTAACTTATAACAAAGGCTATGGCTAAGGCCACGCACAGTGGAACAAAGTGGAAACGAATTGAGTGGATAAGAAAGGGAAAAGAATCGGAATACTTCCACCCCGAAAGTATCCCGCCGATTGTCCCCCACAGATATATCCAGGCAGATTCCCATAGCTCTGGCAACACTGTACTGTGTCGCGTTTCAGTACGAAATTCGATGATGACCACACAGTCTGGAATGCAGAATGCAGCCGACACCAGAGGCAGCCGAGGCCACCTCCAACGGGCCATTGGGCCACAAACAAGAGGCGTGCCCCGGGTCCGGACCCAAAACTGATCCCCAAACGAAATGAGAATTAATATCTCTTTCTCTCTCTCTCTTTTGTTGACGGCAGAGGAAGGCCCGTAGTTCGTCAATGGAAAAATTAATTAAAAACTGTGCTGCTTCTCCAAAGAAAGTATCCCAAACTATAGAAATGGCTTATTACAATGATTACGCATACACGTACATAGACGTGCGATATACGAGAATCCATCAGTACATAGAGGATGGTGTGGGGTACGTGAGTTGCACAGACAAAATCGAATCGAATCGAATCGAAGAATAGGTGGAGCTGGAAGGCCTAGAACTAGTCTCGCAAATTTATTGGGGCAGAGCCGTAGAGCCGCAGAGCCGAAGCAGTGCGGAGTGTGGAGAATTGACCCACTGTTATTCTGAAATGGTTATAACTGCTCTTTGCTTGGCTAACTGTGGCAAGACCTCAATCCAGATACAAAACGCCGCTTGGCACGCTCTCAACGCTTTGCCTCTCTTTCTCTGTCTGCATTCGATTCCATTCGATTTGCTTACAAGGCAGAGACAGAGACTGAGATAGACAGAGGAAGAAGACAAACGACGGACCGGACCGGACCCCCAAAGGTAACTGGCCAAATAGTCTGCTGGCCAATTTGTTTAATTAGCGTACATTTCTTTTGTTGGTCTATTAAACAGCAGCCATGGATGAGCCCTGAGCGCTCCCTTAATCGCTCGCCAAGTGAGAGTTCATCAAACAACGCGCAGCAGAGGGAAAGTTTCATAAGTTTCATATTCTATAAACCCCGGAGTCAATGAACCGAGGAATTACTTGTAGGAGAATCACCACTGCCATTCGGGGAATCCACAATGACAAGCGTGTGGCGTGTGCATTCCAAAGGTCCAGCGACGCGGATGATGACAGTTCCAGAGAGCATCTATAGATTGCAGAATTCGCTATATTTTCCCTGTGTATTTCCCATCTCTCTCTCTCTCTCTCTCTCACTAAATGTGGAATCTAGAACGGAGTCCCAGCCAATTGTAGTGGCTGCTTCTACTCGACCCCCAGCGAATCTTATCAGAAGCAAACGCTAGTTGTTGCTGTGGCTATGACTGTGCCCGCCACTGATGCAAATATTTACATGTAGCGGCAGATAAGACGCGAGATCAAGCCACGTTGTAAAGCATCATTGTAAATCGTTGTAACAATATCATATTTGCTTAGCTAAAACACAGAGAAACGAATGTACGGCAGGGTGCGGGCGGTAGATACAGCTGAGGATCTTTCTATTTTATAGGGTTTTTCAATCTTTAATCTTAAGATTTCCCCATTCCCATTCAAGTGCGTACACGCCCCACCACGCCCGGAAGCATTCATGTTGTTGGCGGTGTGCAACTCCGGGGTGAATGCAGGTACTTTTACTTTAGAGCGATCTCTTTCTCCTACTCTCTGGGGCTCCGGCTGCTGCTGCTGCTGCTGCTGCTGCTGCTTGCATAAGACACAAAACATGGCACGGTGCTTAGACCGCAGCAGCAGCAGGCATACAGATGCATAGATACACGCCCCAAATAAGCCACTAAACCGGTGACACTCCACCTCATTCGCTGCACCTCCATCTCTATCGCAGCATGCTCCATGCACCATGCACCATGCCCCACTCCGTTCCACGATCTATGGCCGGAGAGCCTCCACGAGCCGCTAATTCAAACAAATTGCAGCATAAATGCATTATAAAAGGCAGAGGAGCAACATATCGGGCGACACAGTGTGACAGTAATAATGTCACTCGCACTGTCACGGGAATGGGGAGCATGGGGCAGGGAATGTATAGGGAAATGGATATACATATATATGTATCTGTGGCATGAAGAATGCCAGTGATAAATTAGCTAGCTTCAGCGGGCTTTCTTCTTCTACGAGCAAGTATGTGTGGGCATGGCACAGTGGGGGAAATATTCGAATGGAGAGCTAAAGAATCTGCAAGCATACCAGCGATCATTAGAACATGCAAACTATGAATGCAAAAGGAACTTATGGGGATCCCATCGTCATTTAGAGTATTTATTTCCAACAAATATTCGCTAATTGAATGCTCTGCTCCATTTGTCCACAAATTGCTTATTTATGGCAAACACTCATCATCAATGGAATGGAATCGTTAATTATCCGCAACATCCTAGCCCCATCCGATCCGATCTGATCTGATTCGACCCACTGTGCCGCTTTGCTGCAGTCAGCCGGCAGTCGGCAGTCGGCAGCCGGTGGCAGTGGCAGTGGCAGTGGCAGCCAGGCAAGTGTTTTGTTGCTTTCTTGCAGTTCAGCTCTTTGGCTGCAGCTAATTTGATTAATGATAAGCCGAGCTTAACTGACGACGATTGTGATTCATTATGTGCGCACAAGCCAAGCACACTTAGCGCAACAGTAACAGAAACAGAAACAGATACACAGATACAGATACATAGACAGATACAGATACTGGGACTGGGGCTAGGGCTGGGCCAATCTGCAATCTGGAAAAACTATCCATCGCCAAGTGGCAGTGCAGTAGCTGTAGCTAGTTTTCATTAAATAGAAATCTCCCCCCAAATCGAGGCAAAGAAAGAACATTACTTTATTGCAAAATAGACAACAAGTGCCCCTTGTCCATGCAACTCCTTCGCGGACAGTGGTCAAGGATTGTTTGTGCGGACAGTGGATTGAGGGGCTGATTGATGCGTAATTGAGGCTTCAATTGAATTCGTACTGTGATTGGGGAGCCGGGGGAGGGGGAGAGCGGTGGCAGGTTCTCTTCTGTTGGCACGGCTCGTTATCTATGATATACAATTCGGTTCGCACTGTGTGCTGCTTTTGATTTGATTATATGCAATGAGCCATTTCCTCTATGGCCCGCTCTAATGCATGCCCGCTCGAACAGAGCCCCAGAATGGAGCACCACTACTGTGGTGGTGCATTGGTGCACCGGCTGCTGTTGCACCTCATTTGGGTCAGAAAATATAAGAGCACACACATTTGTTGTGACTAGATGATTCATTTATAATGTGGCAGATATCTGTATCCGCGTGGTACTCATAATTAGATTTTCCCGACAGCAGAGAGAAACGAAAGACATGCACCGCGATGTTTGCTAGAAGATGGTATATGTAGATCTTATTATTTGGCTGGCTCTTTAACGCATTCTTCATTCAGGTTAATATTTGACCAACAGCCACAGCAATCTCTTGGTTTTTATTAAACATTTGCTCAAATTCATTTGAAAAGTGTGTGTAATATTGGTAGTTCTTGTATCGCATATCGAATACCTGGGTGTGGGGTGTGTTTGCAGTTCCAACAACAACAGCAAGTGTATTTCAGTGTATGTGGGGTTTTGTGGATGCCAAAGACATTTTCACAGCTGATTTTCCTGTGGTTCGGGGAAAAACTAACAAAATATAAGTGCGGTTTGTGGCAAGTGTGTGTGTGGGTCTTAGGTGGATGTGACAGACAGATTATGCCGTTAGGGCCTTCTTGGCCTTCTCTTTTTCGGCCTTTTCCTGCGCCTTCACTTTCTCCTCCTCCTTGCGCGACTTCTCGCGCTCCTTGCGGGCCTTTTCGCGCGCCTTCTCACGCTCCGCCTCCTCCTTTTCCAGCAGCTTCTCCCGCTCCTTGCGCTTCTTGTCGCGCTCCTTGTCGCGCTCGGCCTTGACCTTGGCCTTTTCCTTCGCGATCTGTTCGCGCTCCTTCAACTTCTCCTCGCGACGCTTTGCCTCCTCCTTCTCCCACTCGGCATAGGCTTCGCGTTCGACGGCCAGCTTCTGCAGCTCCGCCGCCTCCTTGTCGTCGAGGCCCCCTTCCATGTCCTTGTTCATCAGCTCCGACTCGCGGACCATGGCCTCTTTGGCCAAGCGAGCGCGCATGGCGACCTCCCTGGCCTCTACTGCATCCTGGTGGCGCTGCTCGCGGGCCTCCTTCTCCTCCTGGAGGCGCTCCTCCTCGATTTCAAACTCCTCCTTCTCCTCCTCGGTGTAGGGATATTCGGGCACGCCGGCGTACAATTCCAGCGTCATATACGACAGGTATATAGAGCCGATCAATGCCAACAGTCCGCTGAGCATGAACATGGAGTACTTGGAGTTCTTCGCCGACCATTCCTTCATAAAGTCGCCCTCGGGCTTCGGTAGATCGCTGAAGACGGCGTGCATCCCGCCGCTGGGGAAGAAGCCCGGCTTCGGCTTCGGGGGAGGCACCGGCTTACACTTGGGGGCCGTGCTCGGCTTGCTTGCCTTTGGTGGGGGGGCCTTCGGCGGCGGGGGTGGCGCCTTCTTACCAGCGGACAGATAACGGGTTGCGTTGAACAACAGTTTTCCGCTGCCGGACACTGGATAGGGTTGGGGGTTATGGGATTGGATTGGGCGATAGATTCAAACGGTGTGCGGGATTCACTTACTTCCGCTTTGGAGTCGGGCGGCCGTGGCGGCCATCAAAAGTCGCGACATCTCTCTTCCTTTTCTCACGCTTGCTTGCTTGCTTGCTTTTTGGTTTTCAGGAAAATGTGTGACTGCCAAAAGTATATAATGAATCGAATGAATCGAACGAAAAGGCACCAAGCGAAACCAAATCGAAGTCTAACTCACGGACTACTACATTCTCGATGTCATCCTTGCAACGGTTGAAAAACACTGAACCAGAACCAGACCAAGCGCAAGGGCAAGGGTTGCCCAACACTGTTCTGCTGCACAACCCGAAATGTATATAGTGTTGAACTTCCGCCAATTGACAAAACAAAACAAGTGGAAAACTTTTGAAAAAAATTGAAAAATTGAAAAATCGAAAAATAAAGTTAAACTTTAGTCTGAGAGCAACGATGATTTTTCACGAACGAAATGTATTATTGTTCGGTTGCTGCTGGAATGATAAGTTGAATACGACGTACGATCAGAGGGGTAGATGAAAGACTACTTGTGTAGTAAATCTGTAAATCGTATATATTTCATGGAAGTAATGCGAAAACTAAAGCAAAGACAACTTCTAGGTAAAGGTAGCTTCCAAATTCAACCTAAAAACGATCTCTGAGTCAGTCGGGCAGAGTGCATTCGGTGGTTGGGTGAGTGATAACACGTTAGATAAATAGATGCAGGTCTGAGCAACAACTAGAAAATCGTGTACAATAGTTTACACAACGGTACACAAAAGCTCCAAAAGATAAGCACAAAAAACAGAAAAGTGGAGCCATGATGGAAGAGCAGAACATCAGAGCATCAGAACTGAACCCACACCGCATTAGCATGTGGCAGGCAGGGAGAGCATTTCATGGAAATTTATGATGCCCCAAAGAGAACGAAAAAGGTGTCACGTGCGGTGCCAGCAACACCGAACACTTGTTAAAAATCGGTTAGTCGAGACGAATCGAATGCACAATACGCTAGGCTCGTAAAGAAAAAGTAGTTCGTGGATAAAGAAGTCAGAGCTAATCACAAGAAAAACACACACACAAACAAATAAACACAGAGAGAGAATGCGGTCAACAAACTTGTTTTGGTTCTGGTTTAACAAGTGGGTGGCAGTGCCAGTGGCTGTAGCTGGACTCCCACTCAGTGGGTGAGTGCGAGGGTGTTGGTGTGGGTGAATGGGTGGCACTGCCAGATGGCCAATTATAAAGAAAACAATATACAAAATAATTTATTCAACGCTGCAGCGAGGACTCCAAGGCACGCCGCTCCTTGGCTCTGTTCCGTTTAATGCAGCAGATCGAGAGGATCCCAAAGCAGAGGTAGAGCAAGGCGGTGACAAAACAGCGGATGGCCACCACCTGATAGGTTACATCGGCATGGGTTCTGAAATCCTCCAGACTATGGAAAATCGGCGTCAGGGGCAGATCATCGATCAGCGCCATCGAATTCAGGAGAAAGAATATCCCCATGAGGGTCAGCTGAATCACTGCCCACGCACTGATGAACAGGCAGAAAAAAGAACACTTTGGACCACAAACCATTTTCCTGAATCGAAATACGAAGTGACAAATTTACGAATTTACGAAATTCAGATCCAGTTTCGACAGTGAAATCTAGTACTGCTGACCGCAACAGGTGCACACAATACACTCCTAGAGTCTAGACTGTGGACCGTAATGAAAATGAAATGTTTCGGCCCCTGCGTCTAGGTCTCCGTGGACTGTGGCTCTAACCTTGTGCGATTTTAACGACATTCGAGATCTGTGCGGACGGATTGTGGAAGTTCATGTGCCTCTCGCTTTCGATTTGAGTTTGTTCAACCCGAATGGGTTGACGGCTTTTGGCTTCGATTTGTAGCATTGGATGGACAGACAGCTGACAGATGCAATGCCCACTAGAGGAGGAACGGAGCTCTTTCTATATATATCCATCCCTCTGAAATGTGGGCCATCCGAGGCTGTGATTCACTTAAGGGCTCTGCTCTGATCTCCTCTGCAAATAGCTTATGATTCATGCTCTAGAGAATAGGATTTCCTGCGTAATTTAGTCATATCTAAAGGCTGGGATTAGCTAATTTTAGTAGATAATTTAGCAATAATTAACACGACTCACCTCAAGTGGCACGAATCCAATCCACAAAAGAAACTCGCAAAATAATAACTTGCGGTTCGGTGGATCCGCAGAAGCAAAAGCAGAGGCTAAAGAATCCACTATTCAGTTTTTACAAGCTGGTGGAAAATCCGTTACAAACATCAAGTTGTTGTGAAAATTCGTATGTCGTTTTCGCAGTTGCTAAACCTTTTCAACACTTTGTTTTATACTTTTTTGCATTTTCGTTAATTTTTCTAACATTTTTGTTTGTTTTCGTTTGTTTGATTTTCTGGTTTGTGCTAGAAATGAATGAAAGATTTCGGATGAAACTTGCGGATTAATTGCGGACAAGAACTGATTGAAAAAATAAAGGGAAATCTTTCGCTGTGAAAATCTTTTTTGAGAGGAGACAGAACTTTGACTCTTAAATTACCCCTAAATGGGTCCCTTCAGGCAAATGCTGCAACTCCAAATTGAGCCGAGCTAATAAGTTTACGCAATCCGAGTCGGATCTCGGTTAGTAAGTCTTAGCTCCAGCCCCAGCCCCCAACAGACATGGGGGTCAAGTCCATTAAGCCAGACACAACATGCACAGAGCAGAGCCTATGGCAGAGCAAAGCAGACCTTGACATTAGGGCGTTTTGAATTTCGTTTCTCGGGCAACTTGGTTAACCGTTTTGTTTCGTTTCGAATTTCCTGCTCAAATCAATCAAAGCTCCGCTCCATTCCCCTCCACTCCGCTGCATTCAATCGAATTGCATTTACAGCTAAATCTAAAGCTTGGCTTCGATCATTTTCGTCCCTGCATTTCCACACACACACACGCTGTGGAAATATTTTACCGCATACGTAGCAGAAATATTGCACTATTCACTGGAATTTGTTTATGCTCGTATTCATCATTCGTTATAATAAATTTATAAATGCTGATAAGGCCTTGCGGCTGACTTTTTCTTTCGTTTCGCACGTTGAAACACTTGTTGAAACGCAGGGAACAAACAAATAGGCACACACAAATACACAAACACCGACTTACACGAGGTGGAGCTGCGCCTATGGACCGACTCCACACACAAATGACGCGAGTGGGAAGCACGGGAACACAAACAGCTAATACGTTAAAATGGGGAGCACGGGCTCCAACACAACCGACTCGCTCAACTATTTTGTTTGAATGTGACACGACTGTGGGGCTCAGAGATCCAATTTTAAATCAGCTGGCCGTTGGACCTGGCAGCTGGCAGACCCTCAGAAATATACCGAAACATACCGTAAATATACTGACGAATTCAAGTTATATTATAACAGAGCAAAATAGGTGCCGAAATATACGGTCTCATTTAAAAATATACCGATGAATTATTCAAATTCTTCGTTTTTGATATTCCGTCCAATATTACTAGCTAGATAGAACACTCAGTCCTGCCCACATAATTTTATCCGACCAATGAATCAATTTTCTACTTGACTGGCTTATTTTAAATACTTGTTCTTATTGGATCTTATCCAAAAACTGGTTTTATCGAAAATGGTGAAACAAATAAAACCGAAGCCACCAAGTGAAGCCCGCTTCGATCATGTTTGAGGCGAACCAGTTGGTTTGACGTGGAGTTAGAGAAGAGAAAAGGGGAGTTTAGCGTAGCTAAATGAATACCCTATACCTTTATTTGCGGAATTTTATTTAGAAATTCAAAAAATTCCACAAATAAATTCGATATATATAAAAATGTACCCAAATATACGGAACTAAGAAACGAACTACGCAACAACGGCAGTAAGAAGTACTTGCGAAAACCGAAGTATAGGGTACTATCCTCATCGACCCTTGTAGGGAATAAGAACATAATGTAATATGAACGCTGGAAATTTCATAAATTATAAGTGCACTTAATAATCTCTCTCGCTGTGGGAGCAGAGTGGTCTGATTAACCCTGTTAGCGGAGCTTGCCATTCATTTTGCATGCGAAAAGGTTACAGTTGAAAGGCTGCCCACAGCCACCAGCTACAGACCCACCCACGCCTCCGAATGCAGGTGGAAAGCATTGTCCTTCGAATGGAAATTTATGCAGAATTTGTGTCATTTCAATTTCGTGGAAAGGCCAAAGTTCACGTTGAAATGTTTTAAATGTTATCTATCGCCGGCAGCTGTGCTAGTTTTCTGTTGTTCAAGAACGCAGACGTCCTTGGCTGGCAAAAAGGAAGTCATTCCTTTAGAGAGATTCATTCATATAGAGAATCTCATTGTATAATAATAGATCATATAGGACAACCTCATCAAACTGGAAGAAGGGATGTTCTACCTTAACCTATAAGACCTATAGAGAATGGATATGGATACTCCAAACATCCTCTCAATCAAACATCCCTTACAGACACAGTATTTTCGTTCTTTTTATTTTCTATTAATCTTCATTCCCAATATATCTTATAAGCTAGTTTCTTCGTAATGTATTCAATTTACTAGGCCATTCTTTTGCGCTACGCAAATCTCCCGCACACCAAATTGGACAAATAATCAAAGCCCCAGCTTTTATGGCAAATTAATCGCCGAGCCGCTGCTCAAACGCTATTTAAACATTATTAAAAGCAGATCGCTGTTCGATCGCTCTTCGATCACTGTTCTATTCGGAATTGGTCAAATCAGCTTAGCAGCTGTTATATACATACTATATATGGCCATCGATCCATCGATCGATCGATTTCACATCGCTGTTCACGGATTTCCGCTCCCAAGCTACTAGAATTTCCAGGCCTGCCTGCCTGATTAGGCGTGGTGCCGAGTGGCGTCTTAGAGCGGGTCATTTGATACAGAAAAGAAAGGATGGCTGGCTAGGCTGTAGCTGTAGGAGGAGCGATTAGCATGTTAAACAAAAGGTTCGGTTCTGTCGGTTTGCTTAAGGCAGTCGGCTGCCTAAGGTCTATAATTAAGCGACATAAACTTGGGTATTAGGCGCTAAATATACAAAAATAAAGCTCTGCATCAGAGACAGTGCGCCTGTCTCTCCACTCCGCGATTTGCATAACTGTTTGGCTGGGCCACGCACTTGGGACTTGGTCATGGGTCTGGGTATGGGTCTAGGTCTGGTTGTTTGGCTGTTTTGTCCGTCTGTGGGTCTAACTATGTTTCTGGGGTCTGGGGTCTGTGGCTGTGGGTCTTGGGCTGCATTCAGAACCAGACGGACGGCAACTAAAAACGGAGGCAAACACACACAGTCGCACTTTGGGGCATGGCATGCACATGCAC